GCAGGTGAGATCCAAAAACCAGTGGATATAATATATACGTGCGTACGATCATTACCGACAAAAATAACTTAGTTATGTCCGCTCAATCGATCGCCGACTCAGTCGATCGAGTGGCCGCAGAGCGATTCGGCGAAGATCAGAACGACGTATTCAGCACCGTCGTGCTGAGACCGTGGCAACAAGGACTTATGGACGAGTTGTCAAGAAGACCGGACCCGCGCGCCGTCTACTGGTACCACGAGCCTCATGGAAACGTAGGAAAGAGTTTCATGGCGTCCTACCTTTCCAAGTCGTCGGACGAGATCGTGTTCGACGGCTGCAAGAAGGGGACCGACGGCGCGTACGCTTACGACGGACACCGCATCGTCGTCTTCGACCTGCATCGCTCCCAGAAGAAACGCGTGAATTACGAACTGATGGAGAGGTTCAAGAACGGACGTCTCTTCAGCCCCAAGTACCACAGCAAGGTGAAGCTGTTCGCAGTGACTCACGTCGTTGTGTTCGCCAACTTTCCGCCCGACCTTCGCGCCATGTCCGCCGACAGGTGGCGTATCCGAAAGATCGGCAGCGACGGCCACGAGTTGAACGTTTCGAATCACGGCCGCTAGGTCGCAAGTTATTTGGAATAAAAATTTATTAAAAATGTATGTTTTGCGTCATATGTCTTTTTTCGGTGTGCATGCATTCGTTCTCCTTTGTTCACAGACGATCGTGGTGGCTGTGTTCGAATTACGTCATCCACTTCTTGCCGTCTCCTGCAATTAGCTTTAAATAGCTCGGTAGATTTGATTCTTTCAGATTGTGAAGAGAAGTTTGCAAGGAAAGTACGGAAACAAATTTTTGCAGATAATGGATGCTGCCCAACAACCACGTATTGAAAACGACGGTCCGGCCGATAATTGTGGTTTTCTCCAGTACGTGTACACCATCGAAAGCGAAGACGTTTGTGTTTGTTATAAATTCCTACAGAATCTTTTGGATTTTGTGGAGCACGTCACCGGCGTTACAAACGTCAGAGGTGAACTCTGCTACATGCTGCTCTCCGGCATCAATCAGCTTCGACCGAACGTGAAGAGCTTGCACGCCATTCTGGTCGGGCCGCCGGACACCGGCAAGTCTTCGGTGATGGAGGCCGATCGTTGGATTATTGGCGACGCATACTCGGCCCAGGTGACACGCAGGACACGAGACACGATGTTGTACGGAAGCCCGCTCGAATTCAAGAACTCGAAAAAAGTAAGGTTCACGGTTCTTCCCCAGTACGGAAAGGACCGCAATCCGTTGGCTGTCGAAAACAGACGGGAGACAGCCCAGCTGAAGAAGGAACTAGATTCGTGGGATTATGCGGCGATCATGGAAATGAGAGAGAAGATAGTGTGCCGCTCGATACACGAAAGGGTCACCACTTTTGAAATTCTTCCACTCAACGGCGGCGACGTCCCCGTGTCCAACCTGATGGAGAGTTTGGGGCCGGCCTTGGATCGTTACAAGCTAAGGGAGGTGTACGGCTCTCTCAGGCACCTGGTCATGGATACGTTCAACCTCATCGAGTTGAAGTTGTACCCGCGACGTTTCGAACGGGACAACTGGTGCTGCGAGAGGATGCTCGTCCTGACGTGGGACAGGTTGGCGGCCGTTTTGGAACGGCACAAGCTCGAGTTCGGTCTAAGAGGCAACATGTGGCTTATGAGTAGAGCGTTCGAACTGACTCGTCTTCTCGGAGTGGTTCGCGGCGTGGTGAAGGTGTACGGTTGTCCGCCAAAGTTCATCTTCGACGAGAATCCTATATTGCCCCACGAGAACCAGTGCTGTCACTCATCCCGCCTGATACTCGCTCACAAGAAATGGCTGGCCAAACAAGATCGGCAGTTCCTGCACGACCAGGTGATCGTCGAGTCCCAGCTGGACCCGGCGGACCTCCTCTTCGCGTTCTCGTTGGTCCATCCCACCCTGAAAAACGAAGAGGAAGAATCTCATATGAGGAAGGTGATCGAGGAAACCGTGTTCAAGAACATGACAGAACAAAAAGAGATCGTGTATTACGATCGTAGCGCGAGAAACGAATTGCAGACCGTAAACGTTAAGCAGCTCGTCGAGAAGAATGGCGGGTGTCTACCCGAACACGCGTGCAAGAATCCTTACCGCAGAAAGATGCCGAGACTTGGAAATAAAATCTTGAATTTCGTCGCGAAAGAACCTGAGATTCTGGAATCGGAAACGTTGCATGTGGAACGGAGAAAAGCGTGGATGAGCATGCTGGCGAACGGCTCGGAGCGCAGGTTGAGGGAGGAGTTCGGGGAGGATGCTGGCCGGTACCTGCGAGAAGTCAAGAAGCGAGAAGACGAGATGATGGGCGAAAATCGAGAGCTCGGTTACGTCCCGCTTACATACAGTGTTGGGCTCCCAAGCATTTTCCTTGTGTCTGCGCGCAGCACGATTTCTTAATGATCTAGAAACGGGTCTGCCAGAAATCGCCGCTGAAATGTCGAAAACGAATGTAAAATAACAATAAAAGTTGAGAAAAACAAATATTTGTCTGTTTATCTTTTATTTCCTAAGATGTATGATATTGATAAGAATGAAACGAGAAACTGGAAACGGCGAGAGGTCGCCAGGTTGGTTACATCCATGTGTGGACAGACGGTGTCGTATGCCATACACTTATGACGTCACCTGCTGTTGTTATAAAAGCCAACATTTTTTCCGAACACTTTCATTTCGTGAAAAGAGAGTAAGCAAATGTCTGGAAAATTCGATAGCAATCTGCCCCAAAGTAGGGAAGTCGACGTCCCTCCCAGCGACGTCGTCAACGTGTCCAAAAAAACCGAGGGTTTCGAAGCCAGGTTAGGTCGTTACAGGCTGAGGGCGAATTACGGCATGCTAAGGCATTTGGTTATGGAGACGTCTCGCCTGATCGAATTGGGCCTCTACCCTCGACGTTTCGACGAGGACGATTGGCACTGCGAGAGGATGCTCATATTGACCTGGGACAGGTTAACCTCGGTGTTGGAACTGTTCAATCTGAAGTTCGGTCTGCAGACCGACATGCGGCTCAGAGCACGCGTGTTCGAGCTCACGCGTCTGCTTGGCTTAATTTTCGGTGTTGTGAAGGTGTACGGATGCCCGCCCAAGCACATCGTCGATGAGAATCTGAAGCGGGACGACGAAAACGTCTGCTGTCACGTCTCACGCGTGATTGCTGCTCACAAGAAATGGCTTTGCGAGATGTTTCGACGCAACCGCAAGTTCCTTCACGACGAGGTGATCGCCGAGTCTCAGCCGGACCCGGCGGATCTCCTGTTTGCGTTCTCGTTGATTCATCCCATGGTGCAGAGCGAATTGGTGATACTGAAAACTATCGTGGACCAACTCGTGGATCCGGAACGCACGATCTGCCGGGACGGAGATAAGTACTTCGTCCTCGTATGCAGAACGAAAGATTCCCTCCTCGAGACCCTTGAGAGAAAGACGGGAGTGTCCCGCAAGCGCTGCAAAGAGATCTTGTCCGGCATGCAGAGCGGAGACGAGAAGTCGTTCAGGTGCGTTGACGACGCTGGTCGAAAGCAGCAGCTTATGTTGTGCAGCGTCGGAACAGAGGCTTACATGGCTTCGAACGACGACAAGTACCGTGCGATCTCCGACAAGATGCTCAAACAGATGGCGGCTCTCGAAGACAACACTTTCACCACCGCTCATTTCCTGCAATTGAAATTGGACGAAACTATATCGCAGGAAATGAAGTTTCTCGGTCTCCTTCGCGTGCATCCTAGACACACGTACTGGAACCACGGCAAACGAGATCCGCAGGCGGACGTGGGACACGTGAGGGGAGAACAGGTTAAGCGAGGAGTCGTCAACGTGAATGTCGATTTCTACGAGACTAGATTGAGGTTCCTAAAAAAACGTACTCTTAGAGCCTGCGAGAACGGAAAGTGCCAGAAGAACGGACTAGTCAAAGTCGGTTCTCCGTCGAAACAGGCGGCTGACGCTGTGAGAGTTCTGACGTACAGGTTTTGGGACGGTTCCAGAGAGAGCACGCCTTTTCCCCCGTCCTCGATGAACGACGAAGACACGTGCGAACTGGTTCTTCCTACGTCGACCGACCGAGTCTTCATGGTCCATCTCAGCGTCTTGCTTCCCAGGTGGAGACAATTGGATATACCGAAAATATGTCTGAAGGTATTGACGGAGGACGAAAACGCGTGCAAAAACGACCGTGTACGAGTCGAAGCCTCCAACGATTTGGAAGATGCGATTCTGAAGGACGCCATAGGACTGATGACTAACGACCTTCGTCACTTGTTCGGATGTTCGTCTGTAGTGAACGACTTGGGAAATGGAGTTTTCGAGGTGAACTTGCTAACGTTGAATTCTTTGGAGAAGGCCTGTCAGCATTTCAAAGTCAGGTTCGACGAATCCGTGATGAAGAACGTGATAGAGAAATCCGTGTTCAAAAATATGACCAAACGCGAAACCGTCAGATATTTTGACAGAAGCGCCAAGAACGTGTTCCAGAAGGTGAACATCCGGCAGCTTGCCGAGAAGAACGGGGGAAGTTTGCCCGAACACGTCTGCAAAAACCCCTATTTAAACACGGATTTGGTTACGTTGGGGACAGAGATGGTCGACGACGACGACGCTAGGTTCGCGATGAAGGAGAAGGATTTGCTGAAAGCAGAGCCGTTCCACGTGGAACGGAGGACAGCTTGGGTGCGTATGCTGGCGGACGGGTCCGAGCGCAAGTTGAGGAACATGTTCTGGAATGATGTTGATCGGTACATGGAAGAAGTGAGAAAGCAGGAGGACGAGATGATGGCCGACAATCTGGAACGCGGTTACGTCCCGTTGGTCGCGCAGATTGGCGTACCCAAACGTTTCCCGTGCGTCTGCGCGCGTTACGCTGCTCAGACTTAGAAAGACAACTTTTCTTTGAACATTGGAAATGAAAGTTCAACATTGGAAATAAATGTTAATGAAAAACAAAAAAAATATATCAGCTTGTGTTTAATCTTGTCCTCGTTGTGTATGGAAGATTTTTACCTTCAGGTAAGCAGTGCAGCAAACAAGGGTAATTTGAGGTTTGTCGAAGAAGAGCAGAAGTTGTTGAAGCCGGAACCATCTCGTGTGAAACGGAGAATATTCATTTTTCCAATATAAAATAAACGATTTCAATGTCTCCCCTCATTTCATCGTCGATATTCGTGTTACAGCAACCATCGAAGCACATGATGGAAATCGAGGCACCTTCAGATAAAATCTATAGTGTTAAATTTGAAGACTCAACGAGTAACGAAGCGGTGAACCGAAGGAAAGCAAGTAAAGATAAGAAAGTAAAACGTTTCCAGGAAAAGAGGCGGAAGAGGTTGCTTAAACGAAAGGAGAAGCGAATTCGACAACATTCCCACACCTTGTGTTTCGACGGTTTCACCGTGACCGATATCACGATAGGTCTTGAGAACAACGAAGGCACACAAAAAAGCGAGAGCGTTCGGGCTTTCGATTGTCGCCCCGAAACTATTTTCGACTTGATAAGGACTGTTGGAAAACCCCGTGAATTGGAGATTCAGAGAAACGGATACGAAAGGTGTGCGTTGAGGCCGTGGCAGGA